TTTGGATTCAAGACTTTTATTTGTGATGATGTAGTAGATATTGGAGTAGACAAAACATCGGAATATGATCTACCAATAGGAGGATGTAATTTCTGAGCTTCTGCATATGAGAGACAACTTTTGGCCATAGATTCTTTAATATTTTTTTGTCTAAAAAACTCAGGGCATTTACGGCTAGTGGCAAAATGTGATCCAGAACAAAGGCAACATGTAACATTTTCTTCTTCAACATTGCAACAGTCATCAGAGTGACCATTACCACATTTGAAACAACGGGGAGAAGACCTACATTGTGATTTAATGTGACCATATCGACAGCATTGAAAACACTGAATAGTCGGATAAATGTACAGATCAACAGGTAAAGAATTATAACATAAATATACACGTTTTGGTAAGACTTGGCCATCAAAAGTGAGCACTACTGTTTCAATTGGAATGTAACTTGTACTGCCATTATTAATTACTTTTTTATTCAATCTTCTTACCTTAAGAATAGCTCCACATCCAATGGGAATATTTATATTTTTTAAAATCTCTTCCTCTGACCAGTCTGTAGGGATTCCCCTCACAACACCCATACGCGTAATATTGTTAGTGGGAATGAATGACTTCAAATTGTTCTTTTTTTATTTCAGGATTATTTAAGAATAAGTTAGCATCTTCAAAATGGCTAAATGCAAGTAAAAGTCTGTTTCTGCCAATGCGCTTCAAGCTACCATTAACAATATTTTTAATGGAGTGCTTTTTTAAGAACTGTCCAAAGGAAACTGGGTGGATTGATGCTTTATTATTCGGATCTTCTTGAGTCTTTTGGATGTGAACAATAAAAGGAGAGGCATCTGATGACTGATAAAGAACTCAACCTATTGGCTGCTGTGATGAATTTTTGTTGTCAATAGAAAATTGAGTATATTGTAATTGAGATGCTGAATTTGTAGAAGGAATTGGAAGTAAATTAGTTTGCATTGGTGTACTAACGGGTGCAGAAGAAGCCAGAAGGGCCAGAGCCCCCAGGGTCGTCCGGATCAAACATAAAATGAGAACTGAAATTATAACTATTACTTACCAACTATATGAAGAATAATACAATATGTACACTAAATAGATACCAATAAACTAAAATATTAACACAATACTACTCAACTGATCCAATTTACATTAAAAAAATAATTTTATAAAATTCTCACGACCAACCAGACCGAAGTTTCCCGCGCTTTTTTCTAGAGGTAAATTGTGATGTTGGAACGTGAATATTCGGCTTGATTTGGGGGACTCGTTTCGTGCGTGAGCAAGCCGAGTAGTGACAAAAATTCCGAACACCTTCCGATAGATATTAGTATAATCGGCATTGCAGAATAGTCGGCCGACTAATCGGCAATTCGAAAACTTATATGATTAGTCGGCTAGTCGGTTAGTCGGCAAATACTACACACACCAGCCGGCTCATCTCTAATATATATATATATATATTAGCTGACTCGGCGAATTTCGTACAGCCAAAAAGTAATCATTTGCAATAAAATAATATTGCGACTATAAATTGAGATGTAAGCTTTCCTGACTTTTGAAGTTGGATCAAACTAAATACGGTGTGCAAATTTGAATTTGATTAAAATTGGTTAAGTAGTTTAGGAGTCCAGCCCGGACAAACAACGTGACACATAATACAGCTACTGAACCAATAGAACTATCAGTTTTATAGAATATTAAAATAAAACTATTAATATATTCAGAAATCATCTGTTCAGAGTGTCTTCTCATTAGACAACTCTATTAATATCAACATCGACTACTGCGGATTGTTTAATCGCTGTGATTATGTGTAAAAAGTTTTGTGTATCAATATTGATTGTTGTTATTTATTTATTAACATAATAGAATCAGTAAATAACAAATTTCACAACTAATGCTTAAATCAAATAAAAATATATTAAAACCGTCGTTTTTTCAGATTAGCAAAAGAGATTACATTTCTGACGTTACTACAAAAAAAATCGGACCGAAGTTTGACAATCAAATGCATATACTTATTTTTTTTTTAATTAAAAAATAAGGTTGGGAATTTCAGGAAAATATTACAAACTGAGTCCAATTTTCTTTTCTAATCTTGTAGAGTAGGCTCTCTGTTAATAAAACATATATTTCGGATAAAAATATTTAAAAATAATATATTTTTATAAGATTTACATTTATTTACATCAAATCACAAATTAAATATTGATACATTTTATAGAACATCAGCACATTAACAATCCTTAAATATATAAAAACGCTTTAAGGATAAAAGAGTTATGAGACAACCCTAGGAAAGGCGGTACGAGCTGGCCGCCTCGGGCGCACATGAAAATGCGCACCGGGCATTTTCCAAGTTGCACACGCGCGTCCTTCACAAGGCTGCCAGACGTTACACAACACTGATGGACTGGCGGCATCGACATCTGCTTGTATATTACTCGTTACCGCTTACAAATGTCTACCCTTAGATATACGTAGCTACTTAAATGTCATGGTATTATCTAAGTACATTATTACGTTATGTTTTTATAAATAATTAGCTGTCCCAGCGAACTTCGTACCGCCATAAAAAAATAGGGTTGGTTGTAGAAGGGGAAAATTTAGGGTTGTATGTATTTTTGTATCATAAAAAAATAAAACAAAAAATAATGTCCAAAAAAAAAGGGTGGACCTTCAATATTTAGGGGGAAGAAAAATAGATATTTTCAGATATCCGAAATCCGATTCCGATTGTCAGACCTTATGAATATGCATATAAAATTTCACGAAAATCAGTCGAGCCGTTTCGGAGTAGTTCAAATACGCACACCGTGACACGAGAATTTCATAAAATAGATTATGTAAATTTGATTTTATTGAAAATCACGTAAATGTGATTTATATTGTGCAAAAAACAAATATGATATGCCCCACCTGATGGCCATGCCACTATGCCATGGCCTATAGACTTGTTAACGAGACAATTTCTACCCGGGTCCGGGCTCGGTTTAAAACGGTGTCTATGTCTGGTTTTCTGTTCAGTATGAGACTCTATGGAGGTTTGTTAAAGGACGCCGGCGCTAACGACTGTTTGGGGTCGGTACAAATGTACAAACCATGCTCGTAAACAAGCTTAGCTGGCACAGGCCCGGGTAGAAACAGCGCCTAGACCCGGTGGATAACCGGTTATTAACAAGCGTCCTAATCCCATCCCTTATCGAGTGGAGTCAGAAACAGTGAACTTCTGCTGCAGCTAAAAGCTCTAGTTCGGACAGAAAACTCCAAAAATTGTAATAATGTTTTAATAATCACAAAATTATAAGAAACTAGCGGATCCAACAGCTCGATAAAAACATATAAAAATATAAAGAAAAGTTTACTAGAAAAAAATCCACGCGGACCAGGCAGCGGACGGGACTCGAACCTGCATCCTTCGCTATCCGGGCGAATGCACTGACCATTATGCTACCACGGCCCTATTAGCCGCGTCGAAATTTTCCTAGCTTTAAGCTGCAAGGCAGCGCCATCTCTTCGCATTGTAGGTAACCCACAATGTCAAATGAATACTTTTTCAAGTATTAAACATTTGAAAGAAGAAATAGCAATTATAGTAATGATTTTATTTATTTTTAAAGCATTTAACTGCTAGATGTTTAAATCTAAAGAAAAGTTTACTAGAAAAAAATCCACGCGGACCAGGCAGCGGACGGGACTCGAACCCGCATCCTTCGCTATCCGGGCGAATGCACTGACCATTATGCTACTACGGCCCTATTAGCCGCGTCGAAATTTTCCTAGCTTTAAGCTGCAAGCCAGCGCCATCTCTTCGCATTGTAGGTAACCCACAATGTCAAATGAATACTTTTTCAAGTATTAAACATTTGAAAGAAGAAATAGCAATTATAGTTATGATTTTATTTATTTTTAAAGCATTTAACTGCTAGATGTTTAAATCTAAAGAAAAGTTTACTAGAAACCCGTCCGCTGCCTGGTCCGCGTGGTTTTTTTTTCTAGTAAACTTTTCTTTAGATTTAAACATCTAGCAGTTAAATGCTTTAAAAATAAATAAAATCATAAATATAAAAATATCTTAAAACTCGACTGCAACTTTTTTCCGTAAACATTCCGTAAAAGTAAAATTTTAAAAAAATGCTGAAATCAGTAAAGTTATCTGTTTCTTAGGTTTTCACGCACACTACTCATTAAAAAAAAACAAGTTTCAACGGTATAGATGCACTGTTTTTTTTTATTATTGACGTTTCGCATCGTCCTGAAAAGCATGCGAAACGTCGCATCATCCTAAAAAAGATGCGAAACGTCGCATCATCCTGAAAAAGATGCGAAACGTCGCATCATCCTGAAAAGGATGCCAAACGTCGCATCATCCTGAAACGGATGCGAAACGTCGCATCATCCTGAAAAGGATGCCAAACGTCGCATCATCCTGAAAAGGATGCCAAACGTCGCATCATCCTGAAAAGGATGCGAAACGTCGCATCATCCTGAAAAGGATGCCAAACGTCGCATCATCCTGAAAAGGATGCCAAACGTCGCATCATCCTGAAAAGGATGCGAAACGTCAATAAATAAATAAATCAGTGCATCTAAACCGTTGAAACTCGTTTTATTTTATTTGTTTTTAATTAGTATATGATAACTAGTGGTTTTCAATTATGACGTGAGCAAGGAAAGTAGTTTTAATTTATTTTCATGATAATCTAATTATTGTAAATCTCTTAAAATATCTCTTAAAAATAATAAAAAAAAATACTTTATTGAATCTTTTATAAAATTTTACGACCTTGACTCGAATTTGTAATGGCCTCGGTACTGTGCTACTTCCGGACTATGCAATATCACAGGGTAAGTGACATGCAAGCATGAATCACAACCTAATTGATATTCACGTCCAAACATCTGTTCTAAACACTTTCCACGGCAATGTTACTCAGAAACTGCCTCTTTGTAACTGGACTAGTACATAATGTAATAGAAATACTTACAAGGATGCAGAAACCAGACACAATCATTACCATACAGGTGAGTGAGGTCATAATAATTAACGTTATATTACCTACGTTTGCGAGTATTTAGAAAGTGCTATTGATATAGAACTTGCTGTCATAAATCTTTAATTCAGATTTTATCTTATGAAACGTTCCTTGAAACTGGATTTTTTTTTCGCCTAGCTATTCATGCTCAACCTAATGCTCTTGTCTAAACTGGTTTAGAAAAAAAAACAGTCGCTTTTACTGACACTATATTTCGCATGTAGTGAGATCTTTGTTGGTAAAAAAAAATCCACCCGGTTTCCGAAATATGCTGGTTTGAATCCCGTCAGAAACAGTTAAACTTAAACTTGGATGTACTAGTATTGGCTAAAGGGTGACAATCAAACCTAGCTTTATTCCACGTCAGCTTGTATTGTAGCGGCAAATGTTTATTAAGATTTTGAAAGTTGCTAGTAGATGAAACTTCTGAAATTATAGGAAAAATCAACTTCGTGTGACTTGAACTTCGTCTTATCTTGCCCTACACTACGGCATTAAAAACTAATTGAGTAAAAGTAGAATGGATGACATTGATAATAAATAAGTACGAGTTCGTATCGGAAGAAAATTTCAAGAGTACCGGCGCAGAACACTGGGCGTTGTTGTTATCTGGTAGATAGATATTGTACTTATCTCCAGTTCTGGAATCATACTTATCTCTTGATAAGTATGATTCCAGAACTGGAAGGGGAATTAGGTTTAAACCAAGAAGGTGACAATGGTTGGTGTCAGCTATGTTCACACTTACACTTTTGAGTCTGTTTTTATACTAAATACTAAATTTTTTCGAAGCCCTTTCATTTCATTCGTTCATTATAGAGTGGTAAAAAGGGTTTAGTTGTAACTACGTCCACGTTATGGTGGAGCCTATTAATTTGCTGCACTTTTATAAATGGTTTGTTAAGAATAAGTATGTTTATCCATTAAAAATAAACTAATAAAAATATTGTCTACGAATGAGAAATTAAAAGTGGCTTGACAGACACAGACAGGCGCACACGTAGAACCACGCCGTTGCTCTGAATGTTGCATCATAGTTCGTGACAGCGCAGGCGGTAAAGTTAGGGCATGCGCTTACTCATACTGCTACTGAATCGGAAACTATTAAAATAAAAGGTTGCTAATACATTTTAATACAAAAGAGACAAAAAACATAATTCTAACACTCACACCAATTTAGCCTAGTCCTAAAGTAAGCAATGTAAGGCTTGTGTTATGGGATCGTAAGGTAACGGATAGAATACATATAAACATTTGAAAGAAGAAATAACAATTATAGTTATGATTTTATTTATTTTATAAGCATTTAACTGCTAGATATTTAAATTGTTGTTTAATACTTGAAAAGTATTCATTTGACATTGTGGGTTACCTACAATGCGAAGAGATGGCGCTGCCTTGCAGCTTAAGGCTAGGAAAATTTCGACGCGGTTAATAAGACCGTGGTAGCATAATGGTCAGTGCATTCGCCTGGATAGCGAAGGATGCGGGTTCGAGTCCCGTCCGCTGCCTGATCCGCGTGGATTTTTTTTCTAGTAAACTTTTCTTTAGATTTGAACTAATAGTATCTGACGGTCTTGCAGTGTGTGCTCAGGGTTGGGATTTTATCTCCTGTATAATAGGTTCCCAAGCTGGTGGTACATACCAACCATCTTCCCTATTGATAATAAATAAACTCAAAATTACAAAAAAGAATTTTAAATAAAATACTTTATTAAGTAAATTATATAATAAATTATACATAGACAATAAAACTTTAAAAATCGAACTATGAAATAACCGAACGCTCAATAAGTCTTTCGAAGGTAGCTCGACAAATTAAATAAAAGTTTAATTCTGACGACGTAGCCTGTAAAGGCTACGAAACGCCAATAAATAAATAAAGTTTCGTGCATTAACCCGTAAAAACTAGTTTTATTTAATTCTAAGCAACTTTTGTTCTTTAAAGTTTTTACTGGAAGTAAATACTTTTCGACTTCTTCGAGAGTGAAAAAGACAATTTTTATCAAAGAAAAAAGATTTCCAGTGGTTTTTCATAAATAACTCTGAAAAAAAGTATTTTATGGAAAAAAAACATTCACAGTAAAATTGTAGCTTATCATAAAATCTAACAAAAAATTGGGTTTAAAATATCACTAGTAGACCAACGGAGCTTGATAGAGGTTGGTTCTTCTTCGTCAAACGCCAAAATCGAAAGTTTCAAGTTGAAATGTCCGAAAAACAATCTAGTGTTCGGGAAAAGCTCATAGAACTTTTTTTAATGTGATTAATAATCCTTTATTTTTATTTTTTATGGAAGTTCCTATTTTATTAGTTTATACTAAAACTAAGCGAGTTACGATAAAAACAAAATTGAATCCTATTTGGTGCGACAAATAAAATTGAAACTCACCCCCTAATTCCTGTCTAAAGCCGGGTAAAAGTGGTGATTTTGCTTGTGAAATTTTCTGTAGATTTAAACATCCAGCAGTTAAATTCTTCAATAAAAATATTAAGTAAAAAATATAATTAATTTAATTAATTAAATTGGAAAATAAAAATATCCTACCAAGAATAATCTTAAAAGTGAAAAGATTAAATGTGCTGGCCCTTTAACTTTATTGTAACTACTTAGTAATATTTAGTTAGACCGAGACATCTTCAAGTCCGCAAGAAATTAATATTTAAATCGGAAAACTTTTTTTTAGTGCTCTTTCTTATCGCAGTCTCCCGAATTGGCAATATCTTATATCTTAAATATAAAACTATGCCACTGGGACTGAGTTATAATTAGCCCATCTTCTTACACATTATTTTAAAATAGTATCATGTAAATATTATTTTTAAACTTAATGTTTGTTGTTTTATTGAAATTAAATTATTTATAATTATAGTATCAGTGATAGTTCTAGGTCACTAATATAGTAAGTTTATTCAGCATATAATAAGCGATAAAATCAGCTGGAACCATTGGTCTCCCACTGGCGTTGGACTTTAAACAAGATCAATAAGAATGCAGTAGGTTCGCTTCACTCAGGTATATTTTTTGTAATTCGAACTTGAAGTACGTTTCTATAATAAACTACACGATTATTTAGATGTTACTTACATTTTGATGATTAATGCATTCATAACATCCTTTATAGAACTTCTAATTTTAATCCCCATTTTCTTTAGCCACATCATAATTTAGAAATGATTTTACTTATCTTATCATTCATCTTTTTTAAAGTTTTCTTCTAATAGCTTGTAGAAAATGCAGAAAAAAAATTAACAAAGTTGCACAAAAAATTAGAAAGTTTCAGAAAACTTTATTGAGGGCAACGCACAAAGCTCTAGTACGTCCATGTTTTTTAAGTCTATGTTATGTTATCTCAAGGAACTCTATGATTCTCTTTGGCCTCGGCTTTGACACAGTGAAAATGTATTGTGATTATAAAATTAAATTAAATGAATAAATCAACGTTATATTGAAATCCCGCATAAGAAAAACACTCTCCTATCAAAGAAACTCATTAAACTTAACTTACAAATTTACCCGATTAGCGCCGTTCCCATCGGGTTTATGATTTTTTTTTTATCTTGGATATTATATTTTAATGATATCTTGAAATTTCATATTCCAACGGAATTTGAAATTTTTGATTAAATTGTCTGATCAAAGAACAGTCGCCCTAAATGCGAAATGTTCGAGTTCGAGTCCCTTTCGGAGTCACCTGAGACAAGTTGATATTTGCAAAATTCAAAAACACGCACTAAAGTTAGATTTGGTTTTATACCTAATGTTGTCTCTGTCTTCTTTTTAGCAAAAAAAGTGACAGCATCAGTTTTAATCTAGGTTTAACTTTAGTCTACGTTTTGTTTTAGAGGAGCTCTATGGCGTGAGTGATTAGCGCGTTCGGCTGCGATCGTTGAAGTTAAACAACTTTCGCAGGACCTCGAGATAGTAAATTTACTATCTCGAGCTCCTTCGTGCGTCTGAAGGCACGTGAAAACGTTGGTCTCGGCTGCATCTGCAGTCGCACCCACCAATCCACACAGGGCCCGCGTAGTGTGTCATGGCATAAATCTCCCTATTCCATCTATAGGGAAGGCCTGTTCCTCAGCAGCGGGAATTAATGTTTTGTAATAAGGCGGTTAATGATCGTATCCCTGTCCTATGTAAGATGTTCGTTTCAACATTTTCAAACTATACCTATTTCAATTACTAATGTTGGACTTCGATAAATCTTACATTTATCATAGGTGCTTATAGCTGTACGTTCAGTGAGATACATCGACCTGATTCAACATTATTAACACATTATTCCATGACTTATTTACACTATCCTGACTCAGAATATAAAGCGGCTGCACTCTCTGTTTTTTAACCTAATATTTTTCCAGAATACTTATAATATTTTATTGTATGTCTCAATCCAGGTAATAAACTACATATATATGTTTCAAGTTTAACCAAATCCAGCCGTTTTGCATCATTTAGAGTTTGTTCATATGTTTAAAATACTTAGGATATTATATGATCCGCCCCCAATTTACATTGGTGAAATTTATTTCAAAGCCATGAAATATAGTTTACTCAGGAATAATGTAACATTCTAATGAAGACAGAATTTTTGAAGCCGGTTCTGTAGTTTTTTAATTTATTCGTCACAAACATATAAAAATACAAATCTTTCCTCTCTATAATATACCTAAGTTTCTACATAAGTTAATAGTTAGGATAACACATACACATTATATAATATATACGGTTTTATCTATAAAATTTGTTATAATTGTTATCGTTCCGTACCTTAAGAAAGGTTACTCGCGTGTCCTTCTTCGCCTGTCACACAGGTTTTACAGGCTAAGCCTATACCTTAAAATTTTCATAGTTTAAACATCTTGTTCACTTAAAACCATACAAATATGTGTGTCAAAACTAAAATACTTATGTATCCCAGCTACGTTTACAGTCATCACTTTACCTGCCCATTAATTTACAGTAAATCTGCTGGGTAACCACAG